GGATGGATGGATGGATGGATGGATGGATGGATGGATGGATGGATGGAATCCAGTCTTTTCTTTTGTCTCAACATGTAAAAATATCAATAAATGTTAACAATCATTGGATGTTTTTAGTTTCATAATTTCATGCCTACTGGCCAGAAAAAACTCCTCTAACAAAATTAAAGTGGCCCATGGGCCACCTGATAATGACAATTATAGCTGGATTTGGGGCGCTAGATGTTTAATTTAGTGACGGAAGGGGCAGAAATGGCTCTTTTAATCATAAAGGTTGCAGAGCCCTGGTTTAAACATAACTCCTTGCAGGAACATGTTTGTGTTGAACTGGCAGCCTTTTGCTCACCCAGGTCACTGATGTGCTCTCGGAGCTGTTTGAAGGTGGAGCCGAGGTTTCTGTAGTAGGTTGACACTTGAGAGGCGTCCACCACAAAGGCCACACAGTGGATTTTATCCCTCAGCTTTGGCATCTTCACGTAGCCCACAGTTTCTGAACCCACCGGCTGATCTGGGCTGAACTGAGCAAAACAGTCAAACTTTAGATCTGAAGTGAAACTAGGCCTTTAATTTAATCCATTTCTTCTGCTCCGCGCCTCTTTACACCTCTGCAGGTGCACAACATGTATTTTATATAAAACTAGAGAAATTTATTTTCCTGCGAAAATGCAGTGTGAATGCTTATTGTGGAAGAACTTGCTGAAAAACAGCTGAAATTAGAAAAAAACATGATAAAACATGGCTGAAAATGTATAACAAGTGTAAATCAGCAGGAGAAAGCAAAAAGAGCACAAAAGTTGAAATTAATGCAAAAAATGTAGAATTAGCTGAAAAAGCTAATATTAGCATCAAACAGCTAAATAGTGGCTGAAATAACTGAAACTAGCAGAAATAAGCTGAAAGGGGCATAAATTGAAATTAGCAGAAATAATTTAATTTGGCTGAAAGTAGTAGAAATTACCATGAAAAACTTGAATGTGTCTGAAAACAGCTGAAATGAGCTAAATATGCTAAAAAAGCTAGCTGAAAAGGTAGAACAAGCTTAAATTAGCACGAGAACGCAGAAAGAACACGTTTGTCCAGTTAGGCTGAAAGGAGCAGAAATGAGCACAAAAAAGTGGAAATTACCTGAAAAAAGCTTAAATTAGCATAAAACCAGCTGAAAAGTAGCTAAAAATTGGAGAAAGAAGCTGAAATTACCCGAAGGAAGTGGAAATAGCATATTTTGCTGAATTAGTGTGAAAAAAGTTGAAATGAGTGCAAAAAAGTGGAATTAGCTGAAAAGGCTAAAATTAGCATAAGAACAGCTAAATAGTAGCTGAAATAGCAGAAAAAGCTGAAACTAGCAGAAATAAAATAGAAGCAGCACAAAAATGTTGTAGTTAGCTGAAGAAAATCTGAAATGACCACAAAACAGCTGAAAGTAGCTGAAAAAATTTTAAATTTGCACCAGGAAGCTGAAAGAAGCTGAAGCGGAACAAAATGTGAAAGGAGCAGTAAAAATTTGTAAACCGATCTTAAGATTGTAAAATGAGTTCAATTCATCATTTTCTATGAGAAAAAAGTGGCAGAAAAGGCTAAATATTTCAAAAAGCTAAAGGTGCACAATACCAAAAGTCATAGCACCCTTCTCCTGAACAAGCTGAATGTTTTGATATTTGTTGAAATAGCACAAAAACTGTGTAACGAGAAAGATGCAGAAAAATGTACAGAAGAAAAATGGATCACAATAGCGTGAACGCTTCATAAACATCCACAAAAATGAAAAGCCATCGTCTGGTCACCTTGTGCCCTTCAGGTACGTGGCCTTTAATGACCGACAGGATGTCGTGAAGGGTCAGCCCGGTCATCTCTCCATCCCCCAGACCCATTATGTCACACAGGACCAGCCCAGAATTACACAGCTCATCCTGAGTCTGTATGTTGAAGGACTGCAGCTGAAACAACCAAGAGATAAAAATCTAAAGCACAAAACTCAAACTAACAGAATTTAGAGATTTGTTGTCGGGCCCAAAAGCCACAAAGAGCTGAACTTATTTAGTTTTTCTTGAATCTTTATTTGTGCGTCAGCTGCTGGATCAGCTGTACCTTTTTGGTGAAGCTGGTGGAGAAAGAGGAGCCCACCATGGCCCGGTTGGTGACTCTTCCATTAAACACCGACTGGACCGAGCTGATGAAGCTGGACTTTCCTGAGCGAACCGGACCAAGGAGGAGAACCCGAGCCTGAGTCACCTCCTTACAGCTCGGTCTGTAGGAGCCCACATCCTTCAGCAGGTTCTCCCTTCGCCTGGAAGTTTCAGATGAATTACAGAAGGATTTAACACACAAACCTTTCATTTGTAACATTATTTGCACAAATGTACTCACTCTGCTGCCCACTGGACATCTCTCCACGGAGAGTCCAGGTTTGACTGGAATCCAGAAAATACTGAAAGAGTAGATGAGCATTACTTAAAATAATATTCATGTTAGCTGTTCTGACTTCTAAAGAGTGAGATACATTAAACGTTTAGCCTTTAACCTTTACCGTTTAAAGGTGCCGCTCATTGCAAAGTGTGAAACAACCAGAGAAAAAAGGTGCAGCTTAAGAGTTTATTCCAGCGAAAGACACGTTTGGTTTTAAAACTGAGCTGGAACAAGAAATGTTGGCGTGGCTGTGGTTTACCAGGGATTTCTACACGTCTCTCCTCTTCTTTTTCTGTTGCGCTTGTGGTTTTCTGCTGACTGGGCAGTTTGCTGGCAGCTACAGAGAAGCTGAAAGGTGATGAAATAGTGGTGGTGGAGGTGGAGGTGGTGGCAGCAGCTGGAAGTCCAAATATCATCTCCATGGCACCACTGAAGAGGAGACAGAGGTGCATCCAGTTTTCAAAAATTCACTTACTTGCATTTTGTTTTTCCACGTAGGCGCCAACAGTGCTGTGAAAACAGACATGTCTGCTTTTGTTGGCCACACTTGCATTTAATTTAATTAGTATCACGCAACGATAACTAGAATAAATATAAAATGAAGTTTGAAATGATGATTTTGTTTATTAGGCGAGGGAAAAGATTTCCAAACTAACCTGGCCCATGCGTTAAAATGTTTATGACCGTTAAACTTAGTGGTTCCATCTTTGGTGGGAACAACTAAAATCGAGCGTTTGTGAGAACCGGTGATGGATCTTCCACGTCTGAGGAGGAATTTAGCCGTCGTTCTGAGGTCACGAACTGATGGGGCTTTAGGAGCAAAAATACACAGTGCCGTCAATTAAAGCAGATCGCCCAGGTCCTGAAACAAACCATCACACTGCCACCGCCATGTTTGACTGTGCATGCTTTTCTAAGATGCAGTGTTCGTTTCACTCCAGATGTAACAGGAGACACGTTTCCCCAAAAGAGTCTCCCTTTTGTTTGGCAGTCCTCAAAAAAAGTTTAGCAGTGAGACAAAACTTCTAGAGAAGCAACTGGATCATCAGAGCGAAACTAATTAAAAGTATACATCCTGATTCATTTATTTATTTTTCCTCGTTGCTCATCAAGGCTGCAAAACAAGTCATTGCTGAAATCGTCAATTAATTAATTAATCAAGCTGTTCAGAAACTTTAAAATGTTTTTTTAATCAACAATGGGTTCACGTTTGGATAAAGCTTTTGATTATTGAGCTCTATGTTTAAAATGTTTCTAAATTCAATAAAGGACTAAATCTGTTTTTTTTTTTTTATATATAATCAGCAAACAGTCAGATAATTAATTGTTTCACTACGAACACTACACTGGGGGTGATTGTATGGGGAATTCTACATGAACTATTAAAAGTATTTTTGTTGTATTGCTCATCAAAATACTTTCTTGGTAGCTTCATGTATTAATACGATGACTCTGTGAAATTAATGGTTTTCAGTCTGCTCCTCAGATAAATAATGTTAACTTTTATATACAGTACTGGGGTTTTTTCGGACTATAAGGCGCATTAAGCAAAACTAAAACATTTTGACAGATTTTTGAGCACTGCACATAAAATCAGTTCGAGGTCAGTAAGCACAACCATAATTAATACACCGCGGTAAAGTTAGTTTTACGTTGGACGTTGGATATTCGAGCTCCGCGGCTTGTACACGATTTGCCCCACTCACCCAAAACTTAGATAAAACTACTCTACAAGATTAGTCAGACGATGCACACGGGTTTATTTATCATTTTTATGCATTTTATAATATTAAAATAATTTAAATGGTCATAAATCAGACTTTTTGCTCAATAGCGTCCATGTCTTTTTACCCACGCACACAAAACTTACACCAAGCTACTCTTCTCTACTACTCTAAGTTTTGTGTGCGTGGGTCAAAAGACATGGACGCTACTGAGCAAAAAGTCTGATTTATGAAATATTAAATTATGTAAAATTATGAAATGCATAAAAATGAAAAATAAACAGGTGTGCCTCGTCTGACTCGTCTTGGAGAGTAGTTTGGTGTAAGTTTTGGGTGAGTGGGGCAAATCATGTAAAATATATTGCTTTTTGTTTCTGCAGTGTTTCTGAAGAGTTACTGCGTTCGATAATTTGTTGACGGTCCCTAAGCGAACCATTACGTCACTGAGTAGGGGCAGGTTGAGCGCGGCTGACCGAAATCAGACAGCCTGAAGCGGATTGACGAGAGCAACACCCCGCTGAAGCCGCGGAGCTCGAATATCCAACGTAAAACTAACTTTACCGCGGTAATTAATACATCAGGTACACCGGATTATAAGGCTCACTGCTGATTTCTGAGAAAATTCAAGGATTTTATGTGCGCCTTGTCGTCCGAAAAATATATGAATGTTTCTGTTCTGGTGTGACTTCTTGGCGCTTTGTAAATAAAGTGAATTGAATTACAAGATTTGTAAACATGTCAAAGACAATTATTATTTAAAATGCCTCTCTTTGGTTTTACCTTGTTATTTGATCCATGCTCTTGAGTTTTTTATTTCTTCTATATTTGAGCTTCTGTGTTTTCATGGTTCCTGCTCGCCTTACTACGGTGGCCCTGAAGCTCAAACCACAACTCCAAACCTTTCTCTCCTAACTGACCACACACGCACCACTCACTCAGTCTGTTTGTTTTCAGTTTTTATCTTCTCCATCCTTGTTGTCTCCTCATCATGCGTTTCTTTCCATGAAGTTTTGGGACTTTGCATCCAAATGTTTAAGTAAAAGAAGATCAAGCTGCCCAAAGAGGCAAGATCTGCGTGTTGGGTTCGGTTTCCTGCAGTCTGCTGTTTTACAGACACACGGTGATCCTGAAAAGTTTCCGAATCTTACTGCAAAAACACAAGAACAACAAAGTTGAGTAATTTCACCTACGTGCGTTTATCTTCAGTTTTTATCTCCATCACTCCTTGGTGTCGGCGCAGCAACGTGTCCCTGGACGCACCGCGCTTGACATTCCTCACCATAGAGCTCTGTTCCTCACCATAGATATAGATATCATATAATCACTAAATCCCGCATCGGCTGCTGCGGCGCTGGAATTTCGGCCGCCATCTTGGAGCGGTCTTCCTTATTTGGTTAAAACAGAAGATGTTTCAGCACTTTACAGCTTATTTCTGTTCAACTCGACGGACTGACGTCAGGTCTCGGGGGATAACTTTTCACAAGTAAGATGAACATATTATTGTTAGTATTTTGTGAATATAATTTTACTGTACTGTATTTATGTCCACCAGCTGATGTGATGTTCAGTGTAACACGGGTGTTCAGCTGCAATGAAGCTGACTGAGATCTGATGACTGGAATATTTTGCTAACACGCATACTCATTATTTCAGTAGCATTGGTTCATTATCATTATCAACAGATTTGCATCAGAACTGGAGTTTTGTTTAAGTTCTAGGATATAAAAAAATAAAACTAGGGAGAATATAGGAAATAAAAAAACAAGCTTGACCTCCTTTGTACAATGTTTTTGTGTAGACACAAATGTCCTGTTTTCATTTTGAAGGTTTCCCAAAGAACAAGATGTGAGGAAGAGGTGGAAGTATCTTTGAGGAGGATTTTGATCAAACTGTCCGACTGAGAGATGGTGTGGTGCCATGGGTTCACCTTCAAAGAGTAGGAGCATCATCATAAGTTCATTTCACAAGGACTCATTTACAAGAGACCTGCTCCAGACAGAACATATAAAGTACAGACAAGAAGAACAGTAAACAATGACAACGATAAACTACAGTAAAAATGATAGAGATAAGATAATTAAATTATAACGTGTGTGTGAGTATATATATATATATATATGGTGGCAATATGTGGTTATATACACATATATATGCATACATGAGATGTGTATATATATAAAATAGATATAATGTATATATGATTGTGATATTATGTGTGTGTATATATAAGAAAATTATTAAACTGTATATATGTATAAATGACAGTGATACAGATAATGTGTATATATATATATATATATATATATATATATATATATAGATAGATAGATAGATAGATAGATAGATAGATAG